ATGCTTTGCCCATAAATATCGTCGTTTGCGGATTGTCGGTGGGCAAAAATATGAATGATTCAATGTCAACGGTCGATTCGAAACAATACTCAGCGACGTAATTCTCGATGCGTCGATTGTTTGAAACATCACATGTGATGAGCATCTTTGATTCCATATTCTCAAATATACGCAGAAATACAAACTGATTATAGCTTTGGTTCAACTCAATTCCAACGATGTAATACGATGGTACGGTATCTCTTTCATATATTCGAACACCATGAGGTTCAATCATACACTTCTTTGTGCCATACTTCCGTTTGAACACCAGAGCTGCTGTTTTACTGAAGTTTTTATTCGCCTCCGCCACATTGAACAAATCAGCCATACTCAAGTTCATGAAAATCGGCTCTAAACAATCGGTTATGATTTCGGTGAGGTTCATTGACCAGAATCCAGGCTTGTAAACACACACATTTTGTGATTTGGCATCGAAATTTGGATTGGTTGACATCGCCAACGTGTTTGATAATGGGCAAATGTTCACGCTCCAGATTTTTTTTCCGACAAAAACCATCCAAATCACAAACGAATTTCCAGGCTAGAGACGCTCAACTAGAAAGTACGAATAAAACAAATCAAAAGTTTATGTCATTTTTAAATGATTTAATGGATAGTTTGATTTCTTTGTAAATACGCAGTATGTGGCTTATGACTTAGTTCTTTTTTTTTACTGTTTCGACATTTTTGTTCCTGACTTAATTTTTGGCTAATTTAATTCAAGGCATGCAATGCCATTTTAAATCTATTTTTTGTGTTTGTTTTTGTTCATGATTTTTTTTTTGTTTCTCTATTCATTGTGACGATGCCTTATCACTATTATCGATTCGAATGATTCATCCAGTTTGATGGCAGTATAGTCCCACCATAATTCGTAATCTCTCTGTTAGAGACCCTCTCCATCCTTCCTTCATAAGTTTCAAAAGTTGTAAAAATCGAGTGCACAAATCGATCCTCTCGAAACATTTGGATCGCCCAGAAAAATTGGATCTTGATGGAATTGGATAGTGATGCCGTGGTCCATGTGAATTTTATGCTTCAAATGGTGTTGGCGTGATTCTATTGGGTTAAAGATGGAAAATTTCAACTTTTTTATTGCTTGAGTATTGAAAATTGATAGAATTTGAAGTTTAAAACTTCACAAAACATTTGATGCGAACGATTAATGCTGGGATATTCAATGAATCACGTCATTTCCAACTGATATAGAATACAATCGCATGCTACTCACCCAGCAACGACGACATATTTTCCATCGGGTCCGTCTTGAAGTCAAGTAAGTGTTTTCAGTGAAATTTTCGCTTTTTTCGGTCCAAATAAGTGCACTTCACTTGATTGCAGTCCAATTTCATTGGCCATCAATTTCTTAATATCTTTCGGCTAGGGGCTAATGAGTATTCGAAAACGTTCTACGTTTCGGAAAAAAATGACTGTATTCGTATTTTAAAGCAAACATTCGCAACGCTCCTATATAAAATGTATGGAAGCATTCGCAGTGACATTCGTAAACATTCGAATGCGAGTATCACGCGAATGCGCTGCGAATGCGGCGCAAATGTTTACATACTTTTTATATGGGAGCGTTGCGAATGCATGAATCTACACGAATGCCAGTGTCAGCTGTCAATTCAACGCTGAAACATGTCAAACAAAGATCGTTTCACGGGAAAACTGCGAAAAATAGTAGGCCAAGTATTACCACCCAAGAAAAACATTATTTGATGCCTGAAAAACTTGATCATTTGAAAAAAAATTCACACATAAACAAAACAAACATTATTATTAATTACCATTTTTAACCGAAAAAAAATATAAATTGACATTTGTAAGCAAATCAATCACAAGCATTCGTAGCCATTCGTATTTGATACGACGCATTCGCAAGGTATTCGTATTAAGTGCGTGGCATTCGCAGCATTCGCGAGAGTCATATGCCCCTAGTCTTTCGGTTGTTGGGCGCGTGCAATTGTGATGCCAGCGCGTTTTATCAATTCGATGCATCCGTTTGGTGTGCATGGAACGAAACCAATCTTGGTTTTGATTGCCGTTCGGCCCTCGTTCAATGTGTGCAATCTATATTTGAATGGGACGAAAAAAATGTGATAAGAAATGGTGGTTCACAATCAATTGAAGTGAGTGTCCAAAATGCTGTTTAATTTGAAACTCTTATCGCAATGTGAATGAGAATGAATGAAAAAGGAACACACAAAATAAATGAATGGAAACAAGTAAATATTCGTTCTATTTACCCATCAACATCTTTTTCGAGGTTCACGTAATCGGTGACCAAATCAGAGTAAATCTTCTCCTCACAATCCAATGGCATTTGAACGATAATACCATGAACGTTGTCGTCATTGTTTAACTCGTCCAACTTTGAGTGATTGAAACAACTAGCAATCATAACAAACTTGCGCTTCTCTTCAATTTTCATTCTTGGCCTGCAATTCTTGCGATTTTACAGCCAATGATTTTTGCATCTCTTCAACTTGCTCCACTGTTTCGGCAATTTTGTTGAGACCAACATTCAAATGCAATTGCTGCTCTTCCAAATCGCTTCCTTTCTCCGAGTACAATTTTACGAAGTGATGGATAAAGTCAAGGTAGTGTCTGGAAATGACTAAAGAGAATTAGATTTGAATTTTCCTTTTTTCACAATTTTTTTTTTAGAATCAAAGTATGCTGTTTTACGGTTTGAACATTTATTTCAAGAAACAAACAAGTGCTTTGAACTTATTACATAATCCATCGTTCGGAATGATTTTCAACGACAAAAAAAATTATCAAATTTCATTCTTCGTTCGATTTAACCAACTAACTAAATTCGAATGTGATATCGCTTTCGTATTGCAATACAGAAGACGATCACCAGTCTTATGTGTGTGTATGTGATTTTTATAGAAATATGAATGTGATTTTATAAGAATAAATGTAAAAATACGAAAAAAATAGAAATAAAAAGGTATGAAACGCAGATCAAATCATAATCTTAAAAGCTTTTCAAAGTTTCAATGCCTTAGCCACATCATTGAACAAATTCATCCCATTCGAATGAATCGTCCCGTAGAATCTGGATGAATTCCAAGTTAATCGACTCGTTCGACCATTTTGTTGCCAAGAAATCCATTTCATTGACTAAAATCATCACTTTCCGTGCACCAGCCAGCTTTCCACGTTCTTTGTTCCATGCAGATAAATTGAGGCAATTGTTGTCGCTATCTCCAATTTTCACTCTATTCAATTTCGGGCAATGTTGAATGAACGGGAGAAGAAGACTGAATCCGTTTGTATTCACGTAAATGTTTTTAAGCCGCTCAAGGCTCGGGAGTTTTCTGGCGAAGCCGAGTACTTCATCGAACGATCCGAAATGGTTGGAAATGATTTCCAGTTCTTTGATGTTTGGCAATGAGCTTGAATTTTTGAATGGGATGTCAGAACGTGTGATTTTCAGCATTTTAAGTCCAGGAAATGCAGCAACGCGGTCATCCAAAGGATCACCATAATCAGAGACGTGCAATCGTTTGTAGAAGCCACGATCGTAAAGTTGATGGAGCAAAGCGAAGGCTTCATCCTTCTCTCCAGCCGTTCGAAAGCGAGCAATCGTAATGATCAACAAATCCAGTTGGATTTTGCTCTTCAGAAGAGTCTTTTTGTGGTACAAAAGGCAAATTAGAGCAACGCCAAGGCTCTTGATCTGTGGGTTTAGCTCAAAAAATGACTTCACATATGATGCGAACATTGTGATGATTTGAACTGGCCAGAGAGCAATATGCTCGAGTTTTGGGTATTCTCTAGCAAGCCATTGGTTGTCAGTTCCAATAATACTGTTGCTGTATATGTCAGAACCAATAACGATGAGACGCTTCAGTTTTGGACAAAATTTTAAGAAGCAGCTATAGAGATCACCCTTCACACTGCATTTGTTCAATGCAATGGTCTCGATGTTTTTGAGTATCTCTTTGATGACATTTATGCGATCGCTCGTTATTACAAGAAAATTGAAATCGATTTGGTTGAGCTGCCCACTTGTGATCGATCCAATGTGTTGAAATGGCTTGTCATCGTCTTGCCAAATTTCAATTTTTTGTATGAACGATCCGAGTTCCGTTACTGGTTCGCGCATATATATATTGACACAATCGCATTATGCGTACATTCGAGTCTGGTTCCTTTCAAATATTCACTGAAGAAATCGCCAGCAATCTTCTGCAAGTGCTTGCACGTTCGTCCAACCGAGTGAATTTCTTTCAACGAGAGCCATTCGAAGATTTTACCGAAACATACATCGTCTTGTTCAAAACGTTCAAAGCATTGTACAGGTCAGCATTCACAGCTCGGTTCATTTGGCGAGGCCATTCGAGGACATTCTCGGCGATGAGGCGCTGCCGCAATGAAACCAATCTGCCGCCATCCTCGTACAACAGATCGCCGACATAGACCTCATCGGCTCGGTCGTTTTTCGGTGCGCGCAGCCGAGACACACCGCGGACTTCTTTGAACACGATTTGCTGCAAGTGATCAGCGATGTCTTCATTGGCAACCACACGCACGCCATAAATAAAAAATTTCAGCTGGCCAGGCAATTGGGAGGAGATGTTCCGATCGGGAATGATGCGGAAATCACTACCACGCGTGAAATCCAGCACCCCGCTGACGTCCATGCATGATAAAAGCGGATTTCGGCCTCGCGTTGATTTCAGCAAAAGTCGTCGCCATCGTTTGTAGTGGCATTTGTCCTCCACTACAGCGGCATAGACGGTGTTGTGTCTTACGGCCGTCACACTTGGCTCGTTCTGGACCGCATTTAGATTTTCGATTAGGGGCCCAAAAAATAAAATTTTCTATTAGAATTGATAAAAAAATTAGAATTTCTTATCAAAAGTGAAGAGCGAGTAGACGCTCCTTCACATGCAATTTCCCTAGAGAAAATTACGTTTTTTTGTACGAATTCTCCGTTCATTTGTTGATATTTTTTCTAAATTTCAACGCAATATCTCCCAATTATTTTCATTTCATTCAGAAATAATTTCAAAAATGATACAAATACCCGGCACGGGACCATTTGAAATGTAAACAGTGTGGATTAATGCGGTTGTCGGATCTGTTCATGTCGCTATTAATTTGGCCAATTGTGCCAATTGAATCGACCGGGTCGAACTGAAACTGTGCAAAAATTGTTTGTGCTCAATTGATGAATGAACGCTGCTTGTGTGTGACTATAATAAAATCAACAACGCACGCTCTCGCATCATAAATTTTCTAGTCTCATTCAGCAATCACACAAATCCTCGCCCGCGCCAATGAGCGCGCTAAAAAAGCAAAGATCAACTTACATTGACTCCGATTGAATGTGATCTCTGCTCGAATATCCTTTGTTCACCAAATAAATTCCGTTTCGTTTTGGCACTTTTTTTCGTATCAATTTTCTTTCCTCTTGGAAATTCGTGTTTC